TCTTCCACAACTGGAATCGTGCTCTCTACCATGTGAAAATGGGAACAAGGAGTGCAATTTCAAAGGGTGAAAAATGTCATACAAAAGAACACGGTGTGCTGGATAATGACTGCTACCGTAGGGAAGGGACCACTACAGGTATTTCTATGTTCCAAGGAGATTTCCCTGAGAAAACTGCATTGGTGTTCAAAGCTCAATAGCAATAAGTCAGGTGAAGAAAGAATCAGACAGTGGAAGTTTCTAGGCCTAGAAATCGGCAAGTATAAAAATCTTGAGGTGAGGACACATCTGAAATGGAAAGAAAAGGAAAAAAAAACAAATAACAAATGTGCTTTTGGTGATCACACTGGAGAATGGTTAAGATGGCGTTAGAGACCAGACAGGGCCAGATCTGATGGACACGCGAGTCATACCAAGGGACCGAGATTTCCTCCCAAGTGCATTGGAGTGACTGGCATGGAAAGCCAAGGTGAGTTTTAAGCAGGGAGATGATGGGGTTTGACTCTGATTTTTAAAATGTCCTTTTTAAAGATTTGTCTTTGGTATGTATGTATGTATGTATGTATGTATGTATGTATGTATGTATGCCACAAAGTGCATGTGAATGCCACAAGACAGCCTGCAGGAGTCAGTCCGTTCCCGCACCATGAGGGTAACAGGACTCGAACTCACACAGTCAGGCACCTTTACCCACTGAGCCATTTTGCTATCCATAAAAAAAAAAAAAAAGTGCAGTTTTGGACTTACCATAAAAAAGCAAAACTCAGAACAAGAAAAACCATGATAAAGAGAATAACACAGTAACCCAGGGTGGACTGAGGGCAGCGTAAACAACGAACAATTCACACTCTCCTTTCCCGGGTTGTTACAATGAAGAACTGAGCTCACAGATATGCAATTAGGACAGTCCCTGGCATCAAGTCGATCCTCAAATTATTTTAATTCTCTTCTTCTAACTCTGTTCACAGCCGAGATCTCCATTTCCTCCAAAGGCTGTAAAAGGCAGACACAACGCATGTAACTGTGGATGCCAGAAACCTGAATTCTCATCAGCGGAGTGTTGATACAGCAACATTATAATCAGTCCAAGCAAATGCCAGTTTGAGGCTGGTGCATATTGTTTTGTATTACCATCCTGTTAACTCTCCAAAAACTATTATGCTTGAACATTGTAAATTCGGTTTTTAAAAGTAGCATGGGAACATAATGTGTTTGGAATTCACAATCTAGGATCACTGTTCTCCTCTAGTCCAAAGAGAAGATTTTAAAACTTCCCATTTAAACCTACACCAGACTTGTCCTGCAGTTAATGCTGAAGGCACAATCTAGCTGAATTAAAGCTGCACGCTCTGCCACTATCAGCTAATGGATACTGTAAAAGGGTTTTTATAAAATACATGCAAGGAATACAACATTAGATGCAATTCAGAAGAAGAATAAGAAGTGTAATGGATGCTGGAGAGACTCTGGATTAGAGTTCCCACAATACCGCAGGAAACAAGGGAGCACCGAGGAATGAGTAAGGAACTAGGCTCCGAAGCGACTTCTGGACTGGTTCCACCCTCTCCTCAGTGATTCTCCTGTGTGTGACAGGAGACCTTCTTAACCTCTCTGAAGTCAGTTCCCTTGTAGGTGGGTTGCCAACATAAAATTCCCTCCCTGATCAGATCATTTTTATACATATCATCTGTGTAAAGTGTTTAGCGGGGCGCTGGCATGAAGTTGAAAGAACCATGCTTGTCTTTATTGCCCTCCAGTACCCAGAGGCTCAGCCGAAGAAACTGGTATTATTTATTCTGGAATTGAGATGACTGAGTGCGTAATTTAGATTTTCATGATGAAAAAAGAATACCACAATGTACTGAGTCCTCAGGGCCTAGATGTTGTGCCAAGGATTTATGTTTTTTAAAAGAATGAGAAAACAAAAAATCATTCCCCAGCTTCTGAAGCTGGCCTGGCATTCACAGTACAGTCTTGCTGTATTCTGTAAGACATACACCATCTAACAGAACACCAACCTCAGGCCAGGTGGCTGAAACCATGATAGACTGAGACAAAGCCAAGCCACTTCATAACTTTGTCCAAGCCGAGACAAAAGTAAGATCATCCATGGTGCTACTCTAAAGCTATAGCACATCCTTCTGGTGCCTACAATGAATGAAAACTGCCTATTTATTGACTCCAGCTTTCCACCCACACCAGTGTCCATTTACTGAGTTTCTACACATAAGATTGTCTCTGCTTTCTGAAAGTGTCTAATATAGAGCAATCCCTTCCATAAATCACACACTCAAAGCCCAAATTCAGTGCTGGGATCTATACAACAGCTTTTTTTTGGGAGGGGTTTTTTTTTTTTTGGTTATTTTTTTTTTTTTTTTGGTTTTTTCAAGACAGGGTTTCTCTGTGTAGCTTTGCACCTTTCTTGGAACTCACTCTGTAGCCCAGGCTGGCCTCGAACTCACAAAGATCCACCTGGCTCTGTCTCCTAAGTGCTGGTATTGAAGGCGTGTGCCACCACTGCCCGGCACAACAACTTCTTATTGAGATACACACAGTTGCCCAGATACCTTATTGCCTGGTGTACTTTGTTTACCCAGGGGTCTTTAGTCATTTCCTCCTCTGCAAGCCTGTGTAGCATGTCATAGTATTGCTAGTGAGCAGCAGATGGAATCAAGTTGACTACACAACTCACCCAAGATCCCCACATAGAAAATGTCACAAGACAAAAGCTCAGACTCAACACACCTTTGCACTCAGGAGGTTGAGGCAGGAGGACTGTCAGAACATTAAGGTCCACAGTTTCCTCCTCATGAGCAGAGATGATTCAAATGAAGACTAAGCAAGAAAATCATCCAGAGACAATGGTCTGCATTAGAAAGGGGAGAGATCTCTCTATAGGGAGGAGGAAATGGGGTTCCGAAGACGGACTGACTGTCCTGCCAATAAAGAATTATTTTATTAAAATAATATAAGGAAAGTAAAGAAATAAACATTCATAACATTGGAAAATGCCAAGCACTTTGGGGGTCAGGCGAGGAAGGAAGGATTAAGCAGGGAGAGGCAGGCAGGCAGACAGACAGACAGAAATCCCATGCCTATATCTCCATATCTCCACAACTGGTTCAGGTATGGTGGCCAAAGACTGGTTGGTACTGACATTGCCTGTGAAGACACGGAAGTCACTGTAGCCAACATTATCTTTTAAGTGACCAGAGGCACTTGTTCGTATTAACAAAGGAAAATTGATTTTTTAATATTTCAAGTATATTCTAGTAATTGAATAATATACGATTAGGGTTGTATTATTTTTTTTTTCAGGCCAAAGAGAGGATAGCAGGAAAGTGCGCATTTAATGGGGAAAATATATAGCTTGCACACTTTAAAAATAAAACCTAACAGTTTGCATATTTAGCACCTCTCAGGCAAGCATCTCAGAGTGTTTTATCAAAATGAATTACGCCTCCTCCCCTTCCCCCGGCACTCATGAAGGAGCTCAGTTCACAATTGCCAGAAAAGGCTCGTGAGAGCAGGAGAGTCCTGCAGCTCACAGAGAAGTGGACTCCGTCATGAGAGGTCTTGGGGTGAGCTTCTAACAGGCGCTCACACAGGCAATCCAGTTTCCAGAGAAGTGAACGTCTTTCTTCAGTCGGGCTCTCTCTCTCTGCCACCTCTGTCCCTCTTGGCTACTCTAACCCGGTGTCTCCCTCCTCTCGCCTTCCCATCTTCCTCCTTAACTCAGGGAGAGCAATCACTTAGTTTTCCGTGCATTTCTTTGAACTGTCTCCAGGGGAAGCGAAGGAAAGGAGAAATTCAAAGAAGGAGGTGGGCTTTGAAAACTTTGCCCTTGAAGGAGGCATGGACAAGGTGATGAGACCCTCATGGGGCCCCAGTAGGCTTTATCTTAGCTAAGTTTTATAGAATTCACGTATTTAGAAAAAAAAAAAGTGAACACTGAATTATCTAAGGATATTCGAGTGATATAGCAATGAATCAAACAGACAAGTCGCTGCTTTCAAGAGGTACACATCTGAGACGGAGAAACCAAAAAAATAATAATAATAATAATTGAGGCAAATCTAGTATACTAAAATGAGCAAAATGCTACGGAATGAGGTAAAAATGGATGATAAATAGAAACCCCAGAGGTGAGATTTCTGAGTGAGGTGGCTCTGAAGTAACTTACAAGTCAGGCACAGTAGTTCACACTCTTAGTACTAATAACTGGGAGGGCAGGGCAGGAGCATTACCATGAGCTCTAGGCCAGTCTGAGCTACAGAGTGAAACTGTCCCAGGAAGAAGTGGAGTCCTCACGAACGTCATATTTTAAGTGGTGATGAGAAGGAATCAAGGGAAATGTCTGTAAAACAAGTAAGACAGAAAGATGGGATGGCGAGGAGCAGACTATCGGCAGACAGTTCCCAGAGTGAGCCTGAAGTAGGAAAACTGGGAGACAAGAAGGAGCAGAGGAGGAAACCAGAGCAGGAGTTGGCAGCTTGTGTGCGATCCTCTGGGCCACAGAGATGAAGCCCTTGGCTTTTGTTCCACCTCAAATGTGTAGATTTAGTGCATAATGCTATTTTTTCTGTTCTTGGGATTCACAGCTCTCTCTCTCTCTCTCTCTCTCTCTCTCTCTCTCTCTCTCTCTCTCTCTCTCTCTCTCTCTCACTCTGATGTCCTTCTGCAATACTAATTGAGTGTCATCCTAAATTTCTCCTGTGGCTGCCGAGCCCCAGAAAAGTCCACAGAACATCTTACTCTGCATCTGCAGTAGGCACCTAATTCACTGAGGCCTACGTAAGTATCTGTGTTAATGTGTTGATTTCATTTCAAGAGATGTCATTTCAAAGCATCAAAGTCGTGTCAAATACAGGTACCTCAAAAGACATGGGAAGTGGTTTGACCAGATTCTGGATTTATTCACATGAAATGAAGTCAAGCCTAAATAAGAATGATGGTTATTATCATCAATAATCATTTTAGGGGCTGAGGCTGAGAAAGGAATGGTATTGACAACCCCCCAAAATGTTATCCACCATGCAACTTTTAGAATTATTATATATTGAAAAATTCTAGTATGTAATTGCCAGGAAAGCTATTTAAAGCAGAAATATGAGATTTAGAGTGCCAAAGGTGTAAACAACTTTAATCTGTTAATTTATTGCACATGTCTCTTAGAGCCAAGTTTTAGTTTAAGATTAGATCTTGGATATTTTTGTGTTTCTACAAATGAAACGAAAAATTTTTAAACTCAAGCGCTAAGCACTTTCCATCTTTCCGATGTCCCCCTATCTCTTTTGAAGCCAGGGTGATTCTACAGTTTAAGTACTGTTGGTCTATACATCGTGACTTTCCCTTGAAAGGCACTCTGAAGTTTGAAAGACTGTGGGGGTACTCACCAATGTCTGCATTCCATCACCAGGTCACTTTGGTAACAGGCTTGCTATAGAAACTATAGAAATAGGAGTTACTTTTTAATTACTCTGACAGCAAACGTGGTTTCCATTAAGAAAGATGATTCGTGGCCACTAGACAAGGGAAACCATCCATCCATTCATACAGAGAAGAGGTGTGAAAGCGTGTAATAAACCTCATATTACATACTAGATCCAATTACCTGCAGCTTTCCTTTGCTTGCAGTTCAGATCCTACCTCTGTTTGGCGACCTGTCTTGTTCTGACCACTCACTCAATCCCTGACTATATGAGGGAGAGCCACAATAACAATGGAGGCCTGATCAAGTATTTTTTTTCTAAGATAATTCAGTACCCAAGGTAAGTGGCTTTTGAATAAGCCTATGTTCTCAAGCTTTCCCAAAAGGCGCTGCCACCTCTACTCCTAAGAAACACTATTCTCCAGTTACACCCACCATGAAACGTGACCTTTCTCTCCAGCTGGCACTGGGGTTTAACCATAACCATTAAAAAGGTACAGGTGTGCTGACAATTCAAGCTAGCAGGAGAGAGGCGTGATGTGAGACAGGGGGATGGAAAAGGGAAACTTACAGGAAGGCTTGCACAAAATTGAATCCTTAATATAATCTTAATAATGTGAGCTCTTTCAGCCAAATATTTGACCTCCCCTCTTCCCTTCACAATGTCATGATTGACTGAGAGCTTATGTAATGCCATATTTCAGGGATATTGGAGGATTTTAATGTACACATTCAAGAATTTGCTACATGTGTAACTAGCCCAAGTTTGACTCTACATTGTCGACTGTAATTCCCGTGTCTACAGAACAAGGAAATATTCAGGGCTGACTCTCAAACAGGGAAGAAGCTTCAAACTGTCAGCTGACAGGGCAGAAATGGGAGCCATAACAAGGGAGGGAGGCAGATTTCATTTCCATTTATAAAAGAACTTGACTAGGGGACTGACCAAGAGCAGGGGACTCACTTCAGAAGACTTTGTTTCCCTTGAGGTGTTCTAAAAAGCAATGGGTAGTCAGTCATTCAAGAATGTCTGAGGAATAACGCTAGATGACCCAAAGAACATCCTTAACGTCTAGCATTTTATTTCATGTCCCAGATCTGATGGGGACCAGAGACTCTCTCTTCTAAGAACGTGCAGAAACTGCTGCTGCTGCTGCTGCTGCTGCTGCTGCTGCTGCTGCTGCTAGGCACGGACCACACTTTAGGACATTGGAGATTGGGGGCAGACTCACAGCAGAACCCCATCAACCCAATCAGCTTCATCACACATTCAAGTTACTAAAAATTGAAGCAAGTGTTTGTTAGCTGTGTATGTGGTTTCCTAGGTAAACATCCTTAAGACTCCTCAGAGTTTCCAAAGAATCTGTGCACCAGTTAGAAAGGAGAGGCCAAGGCCACTATTGTTCTTCTGTTCTCCACCCTCTTACCGCGTGCTCCTACGGCTTACCCAAAATGACTTTTTCGTGCCCCGTAGGATTTCCAGATACCTGGAGTAGTCCTGAAGCCCCATCCAAAAGGCTTTAGATTGATGATTGGGAAACAGTGGACACAGAAAATTATTTGAGAAAGCAGATGGACTGGAGTTTGAATGTTAGCTCTTCCACAGGCTGGGGCAGTTCTCAACACTTCAGCTTTCCTCTGTAAGACCTGTGTGTACTTTCTTCTAAGATAATCAAATAACTAGTACTAAATCCCTGGCATGCAATGTTTAGAGAATCAGTTAGTTAATTGTTCCCTTCCTCTTCATTACATAGGAGGATAAATTAACAAGTAAATCATGAATAAATAATTTAAGATAAGAAATTAAGGTCATACTGAAAGAAGCATGTTTCTAGTCTGGAATTCAGAATAATAAGAAAGGTATCTAGTTTTTAAAGACATATAGGTAGTTTTCTGTAGAGCCTTAAAATAGACTAGAACTGAAAGCTTTGGAGGGCTTTCAAAGGGAAAATAAGGAATTATTACACCACATTTCCACCTTTCTTGTTTTGAAGAAATTGTGTTAGAAAACGCTTGCTATCCAAGAACTCTCAGCAAATATGTATCTAATTTTAATACAACACTATAAAACTGTCTGGAAAGTTTAAACTAGTTATTAACAGACGCTGAGTGGGAGAAATAGTCTCCAGGGGTAAAACGATTTCCCATGAGAAGAAGTGGGCTTAGGGTCTCCTGGTCAGATGCCTCTCAGATGTGACACCATAAAAATGCCACTAGGTTCCTTATCAGGGAACTACATGGTCCTCACCAGTACAATTTCAATGAGCCTCAGCACAACTCACAACTGTGGAACCAATGTAAAATGTTCCCCCATGGTTTCATGCTCCATGTGACCTAACACCTCCATTTGTCCCAGAAAGCTAAGCATTTCAGAGATTTCATGGCCCCAACACAGGTTCTAAAGGTGTCTTTCTAGTCTGCCGCATGCTGCTTTTTAAAACCACTAGAAGAGTTTAGAAGAAAGGCAATCTCTTCAGACCATTTGTCATAGAATGAGAGTTCACAGCTCTCATTATATCTTCTTCTAAAACACTCTTACCCCTCAAGGATAAATTTTTCCATTTCTGATAAGGTCCCTGTCCAACCCAAATTACAAAGAAAGGAAGTCCTGGGGGTAAAATGTGTTTACTGATTTTTTTTTCCCACGTAACATCTTCAAAGAAGTTGAAAGGAAGGAAGATCTGACCCTACGGATATCTTCTGGAGTAATTTTTAAAAATACTGTGACATTTTGCTCTTCCAACAATCTTTATCGCTGAGGAAGTTGAAGCAATACTGAAGATTCTACCTCCCAAAGCAAACGTTTATCCCAAAGAGCTCTGCTTGCTTGTCTAATATAAAGATCATCTGTGAAGTCATTTTTATACCCCCAAGATTCACATTAAAGCCAGTTTAAAAATAATTTGCCATTTACATATGTTTTCACTAGATTGAAAGTCATATGCTCTTTCACCCTTACCATCCCAGCAGCAAAGACAGAATCACATTATCTTAGGGGGGGTTCATTCGGCAAGACCCAGCGCTGGGCCTCTGAACGAGATATGTTTCTCATGGTGAAGGGTTAAAAGAGGACATGAAGCTACCCTCTGGAAGTCATTAAGTTACAAAGCCCCAAGAAGATAAAAGTTTCCATTTTCTAAAATGTAAATCAAAAACATATTCATTAGTATTGCAAAACAAACATGCAAATCTTCCCCACTTGAAAAGCTCGGCTAAATATGTACAAGAGCTAAACCCAAAAATACATCTGGTCCTCAGTTACAGAGCTTGCTTTTTTGGTTTTATCTAAAGAGTTTGTCTGTCCTCCATGGTTGGCTTCTTGGATTATTGCAATTCATAATAAGCCTTTTAGCTAAGGATGAAATAAACAAAGATAAAGTCTATGTCCTAGTTTTAAATGGTCCAGATGGGATGATTTTTCCATATGCTTAGCACACCCACTGTTTATTAATCATGGCTAGCAGAGCTTAGAGGATTACAGGGTTTATTGCTTGAGCAAGGGTTGAAATTTACAGTTTGTGTAATCTCCGCACACCTTTTAAAATATTCTATCTTTTCTGGGTTGTTCTTTGTGCTTAACTCAGGTTGGGTGTCTGTCCAAATCTGGATGCGTGGGTCTCTGCAGCTGTGTCTAAGTGGGACATATCAGGAGGGAGAGGCTCTCAGCCAACTGATCAAGAGGAGGCTTTTGTGCCCAAATTTGGAGACAATATCAGTCTTAAGGAATGTGTTACATCATAACAATGACAATGTGGGTAAAACTGGCAATACTTGACTCACCACCCTTTACAATGATTTACTTAGCGTCTGGCAATCTGTTCTTCATATGATGTTTGGTTCTCATAAACAGTTTCAACATGGGAGAGTACGGTGTCAAGATAACAGTCATATCATCCGTCATTGCAGAACATCTACGGAGCTTGCCAAGAAAATAAGGTCCTTTTATCTTGCGAGTCTTAGGGGTCCTTGCTTTCTGGAGATGGTTTCTCCTCAGCGTGCTGCATTGTCCTTTGAAACCTGATCATCACCGCCTTCGTAGGGATGCCATGTCCGTGTGTCGTGAGTGAGATGGAGTCTGTGAAGGGTCGGCAGGGAGAGGAGGAACTCGTGAGACACTGAGGAGTCACAGAGAGGGGAGAAACCCAAAAATAAGTCAACGGAGCAACAAAGATGCCCTCACTTTGAACCTGCCGTTTTTGCAATGGACACAGTCTTAGACGAGAGGGACGGATCCGTTTTCATAAGTGGACCAAGGTCTTCACCATAGCTTAGTTGTAAAATGGTTAAAACAACAATGTGGGAGGTAAGAAGGAGAAATCTCTGTCTTTTTATGTGACAATCACGGTCTCCCGTGGATTCATGGGGAATCTGACAGAAGGCTTCCATATTTGGAACACCCCTAGAACTTGGAAGAAGAAAAAAGGGGGGGAATATTCTTTAAGTTTTCTTTTAATAGAATTGGTTAAGACAGTTAATGTTGAAAATGTTCTATTAATCATGGATGCTTTTTATAGTATTTCTACATGCATTCTGAGATGTGGTTTTATATCTTCAGCAAATGGAGAATGGAAGACCACTAAAAAACATAAGAATTGGCAGCTGTGGGTACAAAAAAAAAAGCGGAATATTCAGCCCTTCAAAAAAGACTTTGAAATTGCTCTGCTGGAGTCTTGTGTATAATAATTAAGTTCTGAACAGGAATCTGGTATGATATCCTACTCTATACTATGGGCCTACAACACGTGCCCTTACAAATTAAAATAGAGAACTGGTGCTCCGAAGCCAATGTTTTGCAATAGTGCTACCTGAAGGAGCAGCATTCTGTCCACAGATGGAAACAGTCTAAACTGAACTTGGAAATCAACTATAGTAAACAGGCAATGGCCAGATGATCTAAGACGTCTATACAGAGAACCCCCCTCTAATATCTCACCTTCATTTGAAAAGTCACTCATTTAAAGCATTGTCCTTGGGCAAATCCGTGCCAGGGAAAAACAAAGCCCACTTTCCTAGGCAGAGACTAAAGGTATGCTGTGTGACTAACCAAGAAAGACACAGCTTGACTCTTTAGAGACGATAGTACATACGGAGCCTATGTCAAAAGTCAGATGGACCTGTCAGCTGCAAAGCTTAGTCACTCTATGGTGGAAATGAAAAAGATTCTAGAGCAGTGGATCTCTGTCTTCCCAGTGCTGCAACCCTTTAACACAATTCCTCGTGTTGTGATGACCCCCCCAACCATAAAATTACTTTCGTTGCTACCTCATAACTGTAACTTTGCTACTGTTATGAATACAATGCAAATATCTGTGCTTTCCAATGGCAACCCCTGTGAAAGGATTGTTCGACCAACAAAGGGGTCGCAACCCACAGGTTGAGAACCGACGTTCTAGGTGGCCAATAGTAAGCAGTTCTTAAAGAATTTCTGACACACACAGTGAACTGCTAAGCTTCAGGGATTGGCAGGAAAGCACAGAGAAGACCTGGCTCCTTTGTAAGTGTGGTGGCCCCACCAAAGCTGTTGCTAGGCAAAGGAATGTTTGGCTACCACTGAGTAGCAAATATTTCAGCAGCTTAACCAGCATGCATGAGAGCTCTGTTTATAGTTTCCATCCTCAAAGTAATTATCTAGGTAGATGGCTCCCTCAGAAAATGACTCAGCTGTTTTTCTTGCTGAGTAAATGGCTAAACCCAGCAATTGCTCAAAGCAAGAGAAAATTGTGGAAGAGTGATTGGGCAGTGTTTCAGTAACTACATTTACAACGCTGGGTCAGAAATGCCACCCTCCTGCGTGAACTGGTGGGCTTTCCTTCAAACCCAAGAGCTCCCTTCCCTACTTGTTACTCAGAAACCCCCCACATCTCCTTTGCGCCCAACATCTTCATCTACCACACCAGTCTGTGTGCTCTCCCTCCCAAGGATGCTCTCACCTGAGTCCTCGCTTTTGTTTCCAGCTGTGGCCTCCTGGGTCTGTTGCTCTCCGTCTTCCTGGGTTCCTGCAGCACCTGGAGAAAGTCCATGTTCCTAGTCTGTCCCCAGCCATCCATGCTGCAGCATGCTATAGACCACTAGCCAAAGCAATGTTCCCCCCAAAATCAATTTCACTCTGTCACAGTTGAGCTAAAAGTGGGCAGATGTTTCCCACTAAGCACAAGAAAAGCATTTTCTTAAGTGGGTGGCATTCCAACTCCAGCTACTGCCATTTCAGCTAGTTCCCTTTATCAGGCCACGTAAATTTCTAACCTCAGCCCCCTCACTCTCCTTCTCTTTGTCCAGGCCCTCCCCAACCTCTGTTCTGTCTAGTTCAGGTCCACCCTGCTTCCCCAGGCCTTCCCACTGCCTCAGTCATCTTGATGTCTGTCTTCTCGGAACCAGTAAAACTTAGTCTGACTCACTGTAAACACAATGTCACAGCAGCTATCAGCAGCTGCTTCGTGTCTGTTTTCTTTTCAGAGTCCATGCTCAGAGATGGCAAGGGTGATTTCTAACTGTGCAGGTGACAGTGAGTGCCTACTGCATGCCAGGCACAATGTTAGGCCCCTGCACTGAGCTCTGTCTCTGGAAAATAAACTCCACCCGATACATGTCGGTCCCTGGCAAAATGAACGGGTAACATGGTTCTCTGGGTTTTAGTGCCTACATCAGCCTTCACAGCTCAGCTTTGAAAAGAAATCAAACACAACACTGGAAGTCCTAATAAACAGACACTTTAAGATGTATCCAAGTCAATGGCCCAAAATGTTCTGCTAAAATGAAAACATTCCCCTATCATCTCCGAATTGGGTCTCTAGTTTCATTGAACAGTTTTGTTACAAAAAAAAAAAAAAAAAAATGAGCATTTGTGATATTTCATTATTTTACTAGGATTTTCCATGGTTACACCCATGAGTTACAGATACTTGTGAGGACTTCCCAAGAGAACTGGCCAAAACTCAAAGTTTCTGTGTGATTTTTTTTTCATACAAAATGCCTGACTAGGTTGCACCTATTAATAGCAGTTATTTTCAACTTTCCATGCTTTCCATAAATAAGGTTACCCCAAACCACCTCCACCACTCACTGCCCAATTTAGATTTGGTCATTTGCCCTTGGAAGAACCCTTAAGGCCTGGTACCACCACGAAAGCATCTCACTGGAAACGCCCAAGCTGCTTCCTGACAGGCAGAATGAACATGGCACTGACTTTGCAAAGACCTTACAAAAGGCACGTGACTGATCAACGGTATGGAAGGCACAAATCACATGTCTCTACACAACACAAATTATCCAGGTACCGCTCACCCTTCGCTTACAGTTTTCCGAACGGTGAAAGCAGTAGATGCCGACTGAAAGGGGAGGTTTGGGAGGCCCAAGCTGGCCCAGTAGAGAAGTATATTTTATCCTACCACGTTTTTACATTTGCATACATGGCACCCTTCAAAGCCAGGAGTTTATATTTTCCCACCAAGGCTCAGCATGTGCGAAAAATGCTTTCCAAGAACTGAAGACTGGCTAAGATGCAAATGCAAATATGGATTTGTGGGCAAACATACACAGTTTAACCTGATCTGAGATCTTCCTTCCATAGCATCGACGAGCTCGGTAACTAACCCAAGTCTCCTTCAGACAAGAACTTTGAAGCATTAGGCCAGACTTAATTCAATTTAACAACCTTAAAGTCTGAAACACAATGGCACAAGAGAGAGTCACTGTAAAAGCCAAATGGTTTCTCAATAACTAGAATGCATAACTGGAGAAGGGGGGAATTCAGTAAGAGATAATACGCTTAGAGTTGGGAGTTGTTAGTTCATTCTTCCTATGAAAAGGATTATCTCTGTGGCCACAAACAAATTCCAAGGGTTCTGATGCTAGGACAGCTTTTCTCCTCTCTTGGAAAGGGAACAATATGAGAATTCTCTATTGATTCCTAACTCCAAAAGGGTTCTGTAAGTCAGTATATGCTCGCAAGATCTGGTACTATAAGGGACAACTATCCTTACCTTTTGTTTTCTCTACCTACCACACTAACAAACGGTTCTTTGTTGTCAAATAAGGGATTTAGAACAGCACTTATAAAATCATATGATCTGTCTGAACAAGAAAAAAGTATCTCAGATAGTCAGGGAGACAGGGAGGAAGTTGGGGAAGATGTTGCCTTAAACTCCACATATCCAGGGTGCTGGACTTTGATGCACATTATCTCATCCCTGGACGTGATTGATGCATGGTGGCATGTGCTATCTCTTTTTCTGTCCTTGAAAACAAAAGGAAAAAGATGGCCAAGAGAGATTACATGGAGATTTGAAATTTGTTTAATGCATGGTTATTTGCCTACATATGGCCTAGGCCTGTTTCATAGAAACTGCCAAGAATCTTCAATGGTTCCCAGGAAAATCCAAGCTTCAACTTCATAACCCTAGCTTTTCTGAATCATTTTAATTGTTCCAATTAGATGCTGCATAGTGAACAGCCAAGTACCAATAACGCAGCAATTTTGCCAATCTGGATGTGAAAACCAAACAAAAAAATAGAGAGATATTCACTACTCAAAACAGAATTTCTTTCTGGTGGTCATTTTGTTTTTAACTTCTTTGAAAATGACATTTTATTTGGAGCAGGTTCAATTGCCCAACATGAACAATGACAAAGGCAGGCATGGGTGGCATCTTGCCCCCAGCCCAGGGTCCTAGGAAGTAAACAAGTTTTGTTGTGGTGTGGTGCAGAGCCAATTCAGGAAGAAGAAGCCAAAACCCTGAATGAAGGCTGAGCTCATAAAAGTGTTCTTTTCCTTATCAAGATGTGGTTTCAGGCTCTCAGATTTCAAGGGTTTGCTTTGGTTTTTATTTTTCTTAGATCAGCACAAGCAATTCTCACATGTCTTGCCTTGGGCGTTAATTAATGCGAGCAGCTAACACTTCTAAGTGGGGTAAAACAACAGCCATTAGCAAATAGGAACTCCTTATTAGGTACTTGCCATGGGAGAGGTACTGGGTTAGATGTTCAAAGGCCACCAAAGGCTAGGTAATATGGCCTCATCCTGAACATGGATGAGACATTTAAAAAAGGACAAACTACATGTCAAAATATGGTCAGACAAATCAGTGTTTTAGGTGTTTGGAAAAGAGCCTGGGTCAGTTAAGGAAGGCTAATGAAAATAAGGGAGCTTTGAGCTGAGGCTGAGAAAAAAGAAACTCACACAAGTGGTGAAGAAAGATGGAGCTTCATAAGAACAGACAAATGCAAAAACAGTTCTTGTTGAATCTGACAACGGCACAGTTAGAGCTCAAATGTTTTCTTTTTTTGTTTTCTCTATCTCTAACTGAAAATGATTTAAATGGTTTTTATTCAGGAATTCCTGCACAGAAGGAAGTAGCCTTTAGATAAAGGAACAATTCAGTTGAGGTTGACTACATTTGACTAAATTCTTGCAAACAGTTTGGTGAGCACTAATGGCACTATCAGAACACCAACATGGAACAAGTAAACACTAATAATAATAATAATAATCAAAGTGTGAGGAAATAGTGTGCCTGTGTTATACATTGGATCTGAAGTCTGGATTCTCTTCAGTCTGCACTAAGTGGTGAATGTAGAAACCTTCATACTTGACAGGCTTCTGATGATTTTTTTTGACACTGAGCTTACATGTGTACTTAGTTCCAAGTGAACTCCCTGCGGTTGTAGTAGACGTTCAGTTAGTACAGGCTAAAATCAACACATCGACATCATGGCAAGGTGTGCTCATGGGTACAGTAGTCTACAAATACTATGGAAGTAACTCACTGCTTTCTGATTGGACGTAAGGCCCATTTCACAGGCCTGGCCATGAATCCAAGGTTGGGTAGCTCACAAGCCCCAATGGGCGGACCTACTATGATTATTTTAGTAAAAGAGCATAGTATCAAACTACCCTCTAAAATTTGTATCTGTATAACCATAGGTCAACGCAGCCCTCAGTCCTCACCAGAGAAGTGTCTTTGTGCAGTAGGCAAAAACCCCACAAGTGGTCAGAATACAGAGGCTAAGTGTCTATGAGTGCTCAGCCACTAATTGGTACTACCCACCCACCAACCCCAGGGCTCAGAGACCATGCCAGAAAAAAAGCCTGGAAAGATGGAAAAGCCCAACAATGTGGAAGAACAAAGCAAAACAGTTTCTTCTAGACACGGCAGGCAGGAACCACTGCACTGGAACTCACAGCAGCCGTGGTTGTCTGAAAGACCAGAATAAGATTCTAGTTCAGAGAGACCGGGGCTCAGGAGCCCCCACTCTTACTAAGGAGATATTGCCAGTTAATGGCTGCCAGGAGAGGGCAAGTCAGTTTTCTTTAAGGGTGTGGTCTTAAAGTAGACAGCCCCATACCTATGAGCGCATGGCCAACACCAGTTGGACACATTTAGTTTTAGAGGGAAAAAGGAGGAAAACACAAAGTTTGAAGAATGAGGGGAGGTAAGGGTGGATCTGGGAGGGGTTAAGAAAGGAGTGGGAGGTGGAGGTGATCAAAAGATATTACATGAAATTCTCAAAGAATAAAATAGTATGTTATAAAAAGGCAAACTGGTCTAAATCACATGTCAAGCTGATCAAAAGCTTAGCATAATAATGATGATTGTTTCTTTTGCATTAGTTGGTATAGATAGTTCGTTGTTTCTGAAATATCTTTGGCCGTCACTGTAAGCACGGCATTTTGACTTACCCGGGCAGCACCATCTCTAAACAGAGAGAAGACTTGAAATTAGCAGAATTTTCCTTTTCCTACAGCTGTCCTTACACTCTTTTGTAAGAAGAGCGGAGTCTACAAAGTATGGTCAAGGAGAGGACCAGAGAAAGAGAGAGAGAGAGAGAGAGAGAGAGAGAGAGAGAGAGAGAGAGAGAGAGAGGCTCCGAATGATGACCTTCATTTAGTGAAAAAGAAAAAAATACTAATTTAAAACCTTAGGTCATGAATTATTGGTGTGTTGACAGGGTGGCATTACCTTCGAGGAGACAGGCAGGCAAATGAGTTCCAGTCTGCCTCTCAAAGCAATAACAATTCACAATAGAAATTATACAATGTTCTAAGGAGTAATTGAGCTAGTCTGAAATTAAAAGAACTATGCGTACACAACATAATGAGAAGATTTATTAGAGGGAAATACACAGATGATGAGGGAATTAGTGAGCCAGCAAAGAAACTATGGAAAAGATTGCCCAACTCAATTCCACAGCTTCACAATGACTCTCAGGCAGCCTTCTGGGTCTCCCAAAGACATGGCTTTTCACAACCTGGGTTAGGCTGCTCGGGTCCTTCCTTTCATAGAAGTTACAAATCCCAAGCCTCCACTTGCAACCAATTGAAATGATAATCAAAATTTAAGCAGAAATGATTGACTTTGTCAAAGCTGATGTCAGTAGGCCTACACTCACGTGATCACTCTGAGTTTCCAGCTGGGTCTTTAATGAACATGCTCATGATTTATGACCTCCATTTTGTACTTTCCTGGCATACGTATAAACCTGGCATTATTCAATTTCCCGTTGCCCCAAATCTTTATTGAGCAACCACCACGTGCAGTTGTGCAGCTAGGGCTAGGGCCCATGGATGTACCCACACATAAATTCCCTCATTGTCCTCAAGGTGCCCATTATGATAAAAACAGTCAGCTCAGAGATAATCCCTGTGGCTGCGGGCTCACCGCTCACCACAGGTGGAAGACGTTAGCTTAGACAAACATGCTCGAGAAAGCAGACGCCATTTGCCAATACTGTGAAATAATATCAAGGGAAGGTGGAGACTTCGAGAGCCATAAATGAGTATTACTATCTTGTGAGATAATTGGGTACAGCGTGGAGAGGGCAGCAAAGGCCCGAGGTGTTGAGACAGACCCGATTCCCTCCCTCTCCCCCGTCTAGTCTGCCGGTGACTTTCCCACAGGTGTTCTGGGGCCGCCCTGGAAGAAAGCAGGCAGCTGGGAGGCAGCCAGGAGGATGTTCATCTTTGTCTTCCCCGCCACACCCAAACCCACAACGAGAGAACTCCCAGGCAGACATGCCAAACTCAGACACAAAGAATAATACAGCAGATACAGAAACAAGACTCCGGGTAAAGAAAAGGACCGGTCAGCAGACAGTCCGTGCAGTCTTTAATGAGGCCTGGTGACGCCTAGTGCAGAGCTTCAGGGAGTGACTGTCATCAGAGATTAACCCTCCCTGAGTTGTCTTGCAAAGCAGAAAGAGAAACACTTAAGCAACTGATTCTTTCATAGATCACACTGACCCTCATTAAAACTGGAAAAGGAACTCGCAGCCGTATCAATGCTTTCCTAAGACAATCAGGTTTCCCAAATGCATATTCGATCCTACAGTAGTAGATCTAGAACTCAGCCACAGGAATAAGGCTGCCTCCACGCTCCCTGTGTCACCCTGATTGCTGCTGGGTGGAATTAAAGCATCTGCCCTTAGGAAACGAACCTGTAATTTGCCTTCAAATGCCCATGGCCAGGCACGGTGGTAGACATCTATCATCTCAGCCCTTGGGAGGTAGTAGCAGGAGGATGGAGGGTCAGCACTGGCTGTACAGCTGTTTCAGCCTAGTCTGGGCTACCAAGACCATCTTGGTAAAAACAAAATAAGTCCATTGCAAAAAAAAAAAAAAAAAAACGTTGCTTCTTCTGATCGCTCAAGTTATTCCTCTCATTTGTCAGCTAGGGACAAGATTTCTGAAACCAGTGATGTTTTTCAAAAGCAGTTTGCATGCCAACCGTGGTCACTCACAGAAGTCAGCCTCTCCAGAGTCCTGCCAACAAAGCTGCCAGTAAGTACTTCCTTCCCTGGTTACTCCTGCAGGAAGGAATGGCAGTGACCTGACGAAGACCTCTGACATCTCCTACACCCCGCAAGCCCCCATCCTCCTAATCGCCTAAGGTCCCTTCCTTATGGCTATGATTTTTTTTTTTTTTGAACTGGGAAAGGGAGGTTATTCCTGGTTAATTTATTATCTCTATTACTACATTCAATGGCGTTGTTAATGTTAGTCACCTCGCTAGATTCTGGGACTGATAAGAATGATCTTCTACAGCTTTCTGCTTTCCAGGTATGAACAATATAGGAATATGTGGTACTACTACCACCATAATAAGCAGTATTTGCAAGTTGCCTTATGATTTGATAAGTATTCTCTTCTTTATTATCTTGCTTCGTTCTTGGAAAACCACTGTGAGATAAGATGATTATCATCCCACCTCATCCACTCTAACCTAAAGCTAGTGTAGCCAACGACACTGGACAGACACCCATCAGCAAGCCAGCAGCAACCCACCCTGAACCGAGGAATCCTAGCTCTGAGCGCTTTGCTCTTCTTTCCCAGTCGAAGCGATGTGAGAGGAGTGCAAAGAAGGAGTCATAAGAACTCAGAGAAGGAAACGCCATGAGGGGAGAAAAAAACAAAACAAAACAGAATGTGCTCAAAACCACATCAGAGATGCGTTTTCCCGCCGGGCATCTGGCTGGGCCGACTCCAGTAACTGGTTTATCAAACAGATGCTGTAAGTTCAGCCAACAGGGTCCTTCCCTACTCACCACACAGAAGAGGCCATTGTGGTCTCACCATTGTTCTCAACAGCCCTGAAAAAAACAAGTTTGTCTTCATCATTGCAAAGCCCTTACGGCTGCCAGATTTTGGTCTTGAACAGAAATAGGGTGTTCTAGGGAATTACCAAATTTCTAGTAATAGACACAGAGGTGAAGAGGGAAAAGTGGGGGCTAGCAGGCTTTAGGTAACTTACCAGGAAGTTGCAACATCAGACTTAAAGGTTTTCATTCACCGGATGTTTATCATGTCCCTAGTTCCTGTGAGGCACGAGGTGAGTTCTAGAGCTCTTCCAGGGAACTGACTAACTGTGTAAGGTACATTCATCCAACACAGGGCCCGCGTATCAATTGTGTTTCTCACATCTGGGGCCCTTCTCTTTTATTGATACGTCGTTCTGGTTCCGTACCACCCTGCTTATAACAAACTCCTGGAAACCCAAGTTTTACTGCTCCGTCAATGGCGTCCTGCAACCTACTTCTGCAAACAAAACTTTGTTTTCAAGAATTTCCTGACCATGCACTTTGGGAATTCCTGCTTTGATGATTTTCCAAGCCCTTTGGGCCTCCTTGGGAGGTAATGACAGCTATGTCAAATCTGTCCCTCATCCCTCTCCACAGCCCCCAAGCAGCTTTCTCTCTGACCTTCTTAGAGAGATGCTAATCACTCCTTTTAAAACCAAACTCAAACTCACCACAGCCTCCCCACTGCTGATAGCAGAACTCAAAGGCCATTTCTCTAGCACTTCCTCTTTCTGCCAGGAAAGAAGAGCACCCAGGAGGACCTCCCACTGCGCTGGAGAGCAGCAGGACTCCTGTTTCAACCTTGCATTTTCCACCATGGGTGAAATCTTCCCTGGTCGACAAGTCCCAGCAGCTGGGCTGTGGAAAAAAAAAAAAAAATAGGTGCCAGTTCTGAGAATCCCGGCATTTCTGTCATCTCCCTCTTCCTTTCTGGCATTTCCTTTCCATTTCTGTATTGCTTAGGCATCAAAAAGTTCATAGGAATAGCACCCAGGTATTGAATTGTCACACTTAGGCCTCTGGGCCACTCCTGCTCTGTCCCAACAAGAGAAGATTCATTTCCCTGGAAGATGCTCTGTGAGACATCAGAGAAGAAATTGAAGACAGCATAACTCTGGTATTCACCAAGGTCAAAACATAAAAATAATAAAATAATAATTTGATTATGATTAAGTTATTTGACCTACTTAGGGATATAATTCTTCAACTTCCAAACAGTGTTTGAACAGATCTAAAACTAGAGTGCCAAGTGATAACTATGATGGAACAGCTCATTCCGATAAATGAGAAAGCCAAATATGACAGAGAAGTTTCCATGAGAATCCAACTCTCCAGGCAGGAGCATTTCAGCCAGAGAAACCAATGAGACATTCAAATCACAAATGGCCGAACTCTGGGAGAACATCAAAAGATTGTTTCCAAGATAGGCTTCTCGGAACAAGAATCCCCCTGAATGCTCTGCCAAGAAGTACTCCATGGTCTCAGAGCTTGGACTATTCAACAGAGAATCATTGAGCTTGGAAATTCACGAAGCGTCACCAGAGTAAAGATCTGAAAAGGTCCGTCTTAACCAGGTCAAGTTTGTTGAACTCTTTCCAAAACTAATTTGGCAGCCCACCTTGGATAGTACGGTATGTTTAAAGCTTGCATCGGCATTTCATAAAAGGGAATCAATATAGAGGAGGAAATAAATACACCTGGGTAGGATGAAGTCCTAAAATTGAACTAAGTCCTCAGCATGCGACTGACCTAAGGGAATGGCAATCTTGTTACTACTTGTCTGTCTGTCCTGACAGACTAAAGCAATAGCTAATGCATTTTTCTTCTCTAAGTGGCATTCTAAGCCTTGGCACCTGGTCCTTAATATGAATCACAAAATCCACCTCAATCCAAAAAAGTGGCCTTACTGAAGCCATATCTCCAGTTTTTACACATCCAGCACCACCATGCCCCCTTTTAAAAGCCCTTTGTGCCTGTAGCTCCTACCTGTTGACCACTTCTCCAACTGCACAACTCATGAGAGTCAGCATTTGCATAGAACTCATGGTCCCTGTTCTGAGGGGGTAGCAGGCAATAAAAATGGAACTCCCAGCCATCAGCAGCAAATTCATATACCAGTTGATGGAACGCTTAGCTAGATAGCGAGAGCTTATTAAGTAGAAATTGCACCGAAATACAAATGGGAGAGTCCTGGATCTCTCCTGAAACCAAACCCATTAAAATCCCCTGAAGCTGGCAGATTGGGACCTGAGACACCACATTAGGAAAGTAACTTGTCTAGGTTCCCCCAAGACATACATCTATCAGCATGTTGACCCCTTGTCCACCAGAAGGGAGATGGCATGCTTGTTACTATTTCCAGGCACTTCCTTAAGGGTTTTTGGCTAGATATTTTCTCATCCAAGGCTAGAGCACACGGGCCATGTGATAGATAGCTAGGACTCCTTGTAGCTCTGGTTTTGCTTGTTCAGTTAATAAAAGCTTCCGGAGCACTCACTGGTACTTGGCATAGTACTAGACATGGAGCTGACGTCTCCTTGTTAGCAACAGGAAAATGTGATGGTGATATATCCAGCAGAGAAACCCTGGCTGGGGGTGTCAGGGCTAGGGGTGCAGTTCAATTGAAGTGCTTGTCTAGCATGCTGGACACCCCGGGTTTTGATCCCCAGCACCACATAAGCCAGACATTTATAAGCATAAACCTATAACCCTAGCATTTGGGAGGTGGAGACACAAAGATTGGAGGTTCAAGATCATCCTCAACTATGTACTGAGTCTGAGGCCAGGCTGGGTACGTAAGACCCTTTCTCAAAATGTAGTCATTAATTTAATTTAATTTAATAAAATAATTAGGACCTTTATGAAGGAATGAAAGCGACGTCTGTGGCTCAGTAATGCTCCCAATACTGACAGACGATCTCCAGAACAGGAACAAATGACTTTTAGAGAGATTCAGCAAGGTCCCTTCAGCTACACGGGGCCGGCTCAGCTCCTGCGTTTCAGACCCTCGCTGTTCCCAGGGTGATAATTCTCCGCTTGCAGCCCAGCAGGGAGGAAGTAGAGTCTTTGAAGCTACGCAGCTGTGAGCACAGAAAAGAGGAACAAGAAAGGGAGAGAGGGAAGCGGGGAGGAAGAAAAAGAAAAGGAAGAAAATTGCTAACTAAAAACAACAGCCACACCACTAAAATAACACTACAGCCCCCACCTGGCCTGACAGCCGGCTTGAAAATCTAGGGCAGAACACAGGGGACCTCCCACCAAGAACTACGGCTGATCATTCCACCCTACATTTTTTAGAAAGAAAAAAGGTGGATGGAGTGGCGCGGGGCGGGTTCGGAGGGGGACTTCTCGGAAGTGCAAATGAGGACTGCTTCGCACAGCGCGCAGCATCTCTGGGCAACAGGGATTTTAGTCCTGGGCACGGAGATGCAGTTTGACAAGTCAAGTTCACAGCAGTTCACACCGCCGTGAAGAACAGAGGCCGAGGAGGCTCCCATCTGGGACATGGGGCAAGCTAACTTTGTCACCGTTACAGCTGCCAGGAATTATCAGTAATAATAATAGATAATATTTACATAGCCTGCCTCCACGAGCGCTCCTGAGACAGACGACAATGGCTGAGAAGTTAGGGATGCAGAACCGCCCCTGACAACCTGACTAGGGATGTCTTTCCCTTCAGTACCAGGGCAGATGACATGTGGCGAATTACCACCAGGCGCTGCAGAGTGGCTCAGCTGGGGATCAGAGGCTAAAGGGGCGAGATTTAAATATTCATCCTGGATTTGAAAATAAATAAATAACGAACCTGGAATTCTTCCTTACGGAAAAAGCAAAGTGGAGGGTAGAAACATGTCATTCAGCTTTGGTCAAAATCCACAGTGACACATCTCCCAGAATAAACTCTCAGGCTGTGGACGGTGGGTGACAAAGAGAAGTCCCTGTGGCTTCTTCTCCTGCCGGATGCTGACCGTGGGAGGGATGGTACTCCTGTGGGAGGGATACAGGAATTCCTTGTCCTCTACTTAATTTTGCTAAGAATCTAAAACTGCTTGAAACATAAAGTCCATTTTAAAAAGAAAGAAAGAGAGGCAATAAGTTTTCTTCGTAGCATACTAGGGCGCATCAGTACAACTCACGTGCATTCTACTAGTTCAAAACCCTGTCTTGGGGACTGGGAAGACGGCCCAGTAGTTAAGAGCCCCTTGTTCTTGCAGAGGACCTGGCTTTGTTTCTCAGCACCCACATGATGTCTCCCAACCATCGGCGACTGCAGTCCCATCAAATCTGAGGCCCTCTTCAGAAGGCACCAGACACGCATATGGTACAGATACATAGCGTACAGGCAAAACACTGGTCCAGAAAAAATAAAATAAAGCAATCAAAAAAGAGAAATTTAAGCCCTGTCCTGGGGTTTTCTGGATTCCTTGTGAAATCAGTCATCAGGTACAAATGTGTGTACAGCAATTGGCAGCGCCGAGGGAGCGGGGGCGGGGTCCTAGAAACAGTCATCAGAGAAGTAGAGAAGAGGGGAGGGGAGGGGAGGGGATGGGAAGGGAGGGGAGGGGAGGAATGCCAAGGATGTGTGTGAAGTCAGCTATTGCCTGGAGCTCCATCATTCTGGGTACTCAGTGAGAGGCTAAGGACTCTACCTCCGAGCTCACCTAGAAAGGATGCTATCTATGGTCCTCGTTTTCCAAGTCCCCATCATAGGGAATCAATTTCTCAAAATCACAACTTATCTACTGATCGAGAGCATCTTTGAAGTCACAGGGAGAACTCGTGTAGAGGCCCTAGGTGTTCCCAGGGGAAAACCTCAGCACGCAAGTAAATACTAATGGTGAGAGCAAGTCACAAATCCCACCATCTCCTTCTGCAAAAAAAGTGCATCAGGCAGAGGGACCAAGGATGCCAGTAACAGGGAACAAAGTGTAAGTCCTTGTCCAACTCTCGTAGAAAAAGGGGAAAAAGAAACCTCTAAAATGCTTGACGTGGATAGGTTCCAGTCTCCCCACGTACATATTGTCATACCTCTCCAAGAAAGGTCGATTCTTAGGCTCAGTGAACAACAGAGCACACTGGTAAATAATCAGTCTCACATCATATGCGCAGCAGAGCTTGGCAGCCCCGGCACAGAGAAGCCCTCACCATGGAAATATGTGGGTGTGTTTAAAGCATTTCAGATTTCTACAAGATATGAGCGCTGTCACGGTGGTGCGTAATGAGCCTGGTCTCACCATGTCGCCCTGAAACAACCGTTTCCTTCAAGGAGGTAAACAGTAATGGAAAACACGTTGTCTTGAGCTGTGAAGTTTTAAAACGCCGCAATGACCGCAATAATGCTGAGGCTTTTCCCTTCCTTAATATTCTAGCTAAATCCACACCACTGACAGGCTGCCCCGCCTCATGATGTCCTGGGACAACTTCTGAAAAGCTCTCACATTGTCTGTTCGATGAACAGAAGAAGAAAAAAAAAATACAGAGAAGGCTTTTGTTACTAACAAACACAAGAAGAGGGATCATAAAAGGTCCTAAAATCATACATTTATCATAGAGCAGGAAGGTGCCAAAGTTCCCCCAATGAAAGAGCGTCTTGATACAAGATTAAAGACAAGCTTCAGAGTTGCCCGTGAAGGGTAAATGCGAACCTGCCCACCTGCCCTATGAGCAAACTTTCCTACCCCCACATCGACCACTCTCCACCCACCCCACCCCAAAGCCACAAGGCTGATGCATGAATAAGAAATGCTCACAGGCCAAGGAGACATGAAAACCAAATGCTGTGTAGGAGACGGTGGCCAACGTTGAGTAGCCTAGAGGAAGAGAGCCTTGGACATGGACATGGAATCTGAGTCTTCTTTGTGCAATTAGACATATCTGGGTTTCTGAACTATAGCTTGTTCAAATGCGGAATCCCTCTGTGGAGAAAGACATCTCAGCATGTTCTGCTGTTTTCTGTATTCTGTTCTCCAATTTGATGAAATCATTTCCAGTTTTGGTTAAAAAGAAAGCAACTTCTGGATCCATTTAGAGATTTAAATTTGTACACTGTGTTTAAGGATTGCCTTCAGTTTGGGTTTTGGGTTTTCTACTGTGCAGAAGAAGGATTCAACAGAAAGAAATAAACATTCTTCGGGCCTACTCTACAAACCTAACCTTAAAAGCCACAGTGAACAACCTGCCCACAACTCATTTCTAAGACAGCCTCCCGGCTGATCCTTCTCAACAGTACTAATAAGGAGAGTGGTCCACACTGGACCCTTCTCTAGTGCCAACAGCTGCTCCAAGTCAAAGCTGGGTAAACATTAGAGTAAATATTTGAAACCATCCATGCATTCCTGTGACAAATGTTTATTGGGCACCCACTGTAGGCTGGGTTTAATTTATAGACTTGCAGGCTCTTGCAGGTGACAGATTCATGTCCCCCAGGACAGCCACAATTCTGGACCTCATGTCTGTTAGTTCTCTCTGTTGAAGCAGACAGCCATCGACAGCATTCAGGCCACCCCCCCTAAACACACACACACTTCCAAAGCTGTCTTGATGACATGCTAGGCTGGCCCTGGCCTGCCTCTTTGCATCATCTTGGATCCCCATCTCAGGTCCTTACTGTCTGGTTCCCTTGAGACTCAGCATTGGTTGTGATTTTCCCCAAGGGATCTCTGCCTTCCAAGGGAAAGTTTCTGCAAAACACAAGTGTTACCCTTGCCATAGGCCCTCTCTACCGGGTTTAAGGGAATTTAGACAGACTTGGTTTTACATGCAAACTCAGTTAGTTTCTACCTACAAATCTTCTGAGTGAGTTAACTTCACTGAGTGAGATTCCTTCTCCTGGGAAATGAATAACAGTAATAGCATTAGGAGATTTTTGTGAGAATTAGAGAGAGAGAGAAATCGGTTGTCTATACTGAATCCACTTCCTGAGGTGATTTAGAATTCTTTTAGGATGCCACTACTAACATGCAAAGTAGACAGAGAGCTCAATCTGTGTGTTTGCCTGGTCCCGCCTTCTTGACAAATACTCCTCACAACGTAATGGAAAACATCTTTGACCAATAGATGGCCAGCTTTCTCCACTGCTGGTGGCCACCGTAATGTTTACTCTTGACTATTGAGTTGACTGGTTCTGTAATTAACTAAAAGGTAAGCCACTGGGCATTACTGTGGGGGACTTTCCTGATCAGGTTGTCTGAAGTGTGAAATCTCACCCTCAATGTCATCGGTAACACCTTCCTGTGGCGGCCCAGATTACAGGAAGGAGAAGAAGGAAACTGGCCTGCTTGCTTCCACTCTTGTTGACAGGCTCATATACTCTGCCCCTGCCACTATTGCTTCTGCATTCTCCCACTGACACCAGAAACCAGCTCCTTCAGATGTCCAGTGTGGACTGAAGACCAGTGGCTCTCCAGGCCTTCAATGCCATTGGTACTGCTGAGACTCTCATTCCCATGGACTGAGGAACTACTGGGTTCTCAGTGCTCTCTGGTGTGAAACAATCATTGTCAGACTACCCAGACTATACTATATAAGCCAATCTAATAAATCTCCCTCCAACATATATTCCTTCTATCAGTTCTATTTCTCTGGAGAACCCTGACTAACACAGCCACTGAGAATATCGAGCAAACATCCCCTGTTGAATACAACTGACGACAGTAGAATTTACAAAACGTTAAAATATAAAGCATGGATTCTCTGCCAAATATCCTGAAAGCTCCTACAATAAACTTAATATGTCTTTCCCCAAATTCATGTTGAAATCCTAGGCTCTGCCCCCACCCACAGTGCTTTAGGAGATTAGGTCTATGTATGTTAGATAGCTTTCTGTTGTTGTGACAAAATACAGGAGCATAGCCACCTCAAAAGGAAAAGTTTTTCCTTGTGTGTTAGATGTTCTGATCTGTGGGATGTTGAAGCCATTGCTTCTAGGTAGCCAGGCAGAAATATCATGTCATATGTTGTGAAAGAGGATGGTGACTTCGTTACAGTTGGCACATGAGAGGAGCGGGGACAGAGGAAGAAGCTAAGGACAAGAGACATCATTTAAAAGCAAGCGCTTAACAGCCCTCTTCCTCCAGTCGGACCCCACCTTCCAGCTTTCACCACCTTCCAGTGGTCCATTCAGTTATAAGAAGCCGTCACAGATGGGGCTGGAGAGGTGTCTCAGAGGTTAAGAGCACTGGCTGCTCCTCCAGACCTGAGGACCTGAGTTCAAGTCCCAGCACCCACATAGCAGCTCACAACTGTCTGTGACTCCAATTCCCAGGGAATCCGACACCTTCACACCAATGTACATAAGATAAACTTAAATAAATTATTTAAAAAAAAAAAAAAGAATCTGTCATAGATTCTGTCAGTATCCTCATGTTGTGGTCACTTCCCCAGAACTCCACTGGGGACTGAACCTTCACATTATCAGGAGGTAATTAAGTCATGAGGGTAGAGCCCATGGATGGGATTACTGTCTTAATAAATGCTCTCTTCACACCATGGAAGGATACTGGGAGAAGCTAGCCCTTGGTAGCACAGCAAAGGTCCCTTCCAGAACCCAACCCTGCTGGCTCCCTAATCTTGGGCTTCTATGCTCCAGAGCTTTGAACAATAAATTTCCCTCTAAGCCATAAAACCTGTGATAATGTGTTATTTCAGCCCAAACCCACTGAAGACATACCATCTCAGTTAAATCATGGAAGGCATGCCTGCCTCTGTCCTACAAACAAGTCAGCTCAGACCTCGAGAGATTAGAAAATCTGCCCACCACCACCAGTCCACTGGCAGGAAGACGAACGGGCAGAGCTGGAGTTTGGGACCGCCTGCCTGCTCAGAATAGCATCAGGCGCCACATGGTATAATTCCAAACTTGTTCCTTAGCCCCTGACCTGAGCAATGGCAACCCCAGCAAATGGACACTGAGAGGAGACCCAGTCCTAGCCTTATCCTGTCAGCCATGGCCTACAGAAAACTGAACTGAACTCAGGCATGAGGCTTCA